TAAATGTTCGACTTATTCTCAGTTGTTGGTTTTGATTAATGAGTGTTGGCAATGGGTATCTAGTTTTTGTGTACTCATGGTGGGAGATTTGGATAATTGGAGGTTGTCTAGCAGAAAGAATGGTTCGGTCTAGACAGGGAGGGACAGACAAAGGCAAACCTTTGGCAATTTGGCACCAACACCTTACGAAATTTGCAAAAGCTTTAAAATCGACAAGTACATGATTAAATGCTAGTCCCAGAATAATACTACCACACTTGAATCTTGTCACCTGAAATAATTATAAAACTAATTTTCAAGATAGTTTTATTTGGGAGAATTAATCCAAGACTAACCACCGTTATTGCAAGAATTATATTATACGAAAAAACAATACAAGACGGGCCATTTTGGATTTATTATTTATTGCATGGGCCAGACAGGGATAATATTTAAAAAGGAATATTACATATTCAAGAGTATAAGTTTAGTCTATTTCAAAAATAAGAACACAAGTTTAAAGTTACCAAAATCAGATTTTTTTAAAAATTTTTTTAAATTTTTATTTATGAAATAATAAATTATTAAATTAATTTATTATTAAATATTTAATTATAATATAATATAATTAACCCATCCCACCTTCACCACCCCTACCGCTCCGGCGACCGTTCCAATTACTGCCCTACTCCGACGAACTTTTCGAAGACCGTTCCGACGAACGTTCCCGTCGTCGATTTTTCCGGCAACTGCTCCGCTATATTTTTTTGTACGGTTAACATGTTTTTTTTACGGTCACAACTCAGGTCACAAGTCACAGTTCAGGTCACAAGTCAAGAGTCACAGCCCATATCACAAGTCCTAGCTCAGGTCACAAGTCAAGAGTCACAGTCCAAGTCACAAGTCACAAATTAAGTCACAGGCTAGGTCACAAGTCACAACGCAGACCCAACATTAACCGGCGCTGCTAATCGAAGTCGCCATCTTCTAATCCGTGCAACACCACCACCCACGACACACTACCACCACCACAGCAAAATTACTACTTCCATAACCAAGCTAATCTAGTTATCGAAAACCTCCAAATTAGATACTGCCACCATCTACAATTAGATCCCACACACCATCATAGATTCGCACTGCCACCAACGATCAACCCAACCTGCCCGTCACCTTTAGCAGACCCACAACGCCACCAGCAGACCCAAAAATTTTAAAAAAAAGAAGGAAGAATGCCTTTCCTCCAGGTCCAAGTGGCGCCGTCGCCTTCCTCGTCTAGTTGTTGCCCTCCGTCGCATGCGTGACTTCTAAATGAAGATCTCCTTCCATTTCGAGACCTCCATCTTGCGATTCATCGGAAAATAGCCCCCTCCGATACTTACGAAATATGGAAGCGCGATGGCAACCTCCGAGCAGACATATCTCTCGCCCGTGGTGCCGGTGCCGACTTTGTGGTTGTGGCGGAGAGGGAGATAGAAACTGCCAGAGAGGGAGGAGAAAATGGAGGAGAAAGTGTCGGAGACGGAGATAGGATGAGGCCGATGGTTACCGTGAGAGAGGAGAGAATAGATGAAGGATGAAAATGATATAATTAGGGTTTTGGATAAAAAATATATATTTAGTATTTAAAAATAAAATATCTGATTTTGGAAATATTAAACTTTCAATCTGATTTTAAAAATTTAAAAACTTAAAGTATGGTTTTATATAATTACCACTATTTAAAATTGTATGAAAGTTACGAGGCTATTCACGTGAAACTCCAATCCACTACAAGTTCAGGGATAATATTTAAAAAAAGTGAGTATTCATTTGACTCAAACTCATTTTAAACTACATATCATGAATTTCACAACTTTTCAACCACACATTTCATCAAAAAATTTCACTAGATATTTTTTAATTTACTAAAAAATAATTAACTAAATTAAAATAAAATATCATATTTATTCTGAATTCTATCTTAAAAAATCAATCTTATTATAATCGACACACTTGGTTATAGATTTTAGTTGAGCTATAGAGGTCCATATAGATTGGCAGTCCTTATAAGTAAACCTTCTTCTATCTTTATTTTATTTTTTAAGTGGGAAAATTATAATAATTAATGTTGCCCTGTGACAAAAATAATGGAATACAATTTGACCACAGACGACAACAGTAATCAAGTAAACAAATTTAGCTAAAGTATGGGTGTAAAAATATTTATATTTTGATATTTAAAGTGTGATGTGATTTTTTCCTCAAAGTGTAAAAAAATTATTTAGGGTCCGTTTGATAGCATGGAATTCTATGAAAAATATCACATTCGAGGAAAATAAATTCTACTTTGGCTGTTTGATTGCAACGTGGAAATAGAAATCGAATTTCAATGTACAATCACTTTAAACTGTTTTTTGTTTTCATGAAAAACGAATTCATATGAGTTTGGTGGATTTTTATTTTCCAACTAATATGGAATTGAAATTTCTTTCCACATTTACCTATCAAACGAACCCTTAGTGATTGTTTGGAAAAACTTAAAGCTGTTAAAATGGCAATGCATAAATAATGGAATCCACAACTTTTATCAAAAACTTTCTCAAACAACCCTTGACTAACAAGCATTGCTAATAAATTTAAAATGCAAGTATGATACCTGAACTGTCAATGGTGGAACTTCTAATATATTTTGAGCTGTCTCATTAAAATGGATAAGCTTCCTTAGCTTGAGAGGATCGGCTATGGTAAGATCTCCAAGAACTTCTATTTCATCCTCACTAAAAGCTTCCACGAACGGCACCCCGTCTCCGGTGCAATTCACCATCATTTTGCCACCCCAGTCTGTGTCAAGACAACCTGCGAATGGATAAAAATCCTGCAAGAACTTGGCCAGTGAAGTTTTAAAAATTTCAGTGGGCTATCACTGTTTGTTTCATTTCCCTTACATGCAAACAAAATCTCAATGGGATAAGGAAATGTTTGGTCCAGATTTGATAGCAAATACAAACCCCCTGGAGTCTTTCCAGAAGGAAGAACTTGAACGGGTTCCAGTTTCTTCACTGAAAATCCCGCCTCTGCATGTCCGTTCGAATGATCCATTTTTTCCTGTCTTATTCACAAGGATTCACTGCATTAACATTCAAAACAGGAAAACCTATATGCATCAAGATATGAAGGCGAAGAGAGAGAGAGAGAGAGAGAGAACATGCAACTGAAGGCGATGATTAAGATATGTTATCTTGGAAGTATGGGGTGTAATTTATATAGTGTGAAGTACTGGGGTATTGGAGTGTACAGTGACTAACTTGGAAGATCGTGGAAGCTGCCTGCCTGCCTCATCGACACTACCAAAAAATATAAACAAATAAATAATGACTCCGTATATAATCTTTTATTGTTATTTGTCAATCTTCCGGTCAAATTCCTAGGGTTTGGGTTTGGGTTTGGGTTTCGTGGAAGCTGCCTGCCTCCCCAACACTACCAAAAAAATCATAAATATGGTAATTTTTAATTGACACGTGCATTAAATAATAAACTGTCATGTGTATGTCACGTATGACGACTACCAGTAATTTTCACTACAAATAGAATTACTCAATTGTCAATCTTGTCGGCAAAGATTTGTTTTTCTGGATAAAGATGTAGAAAATATCAACCACATTTTTTAATGAAGCACCTACAAGTGAAATATTTACTAGAACTGGAAAAAAAAATGATATAAACTTAAATGGGGACGTGCAACCTAATATTCGATTAATGAAAATGCATTGTAAAACCTAATATTCGATTCTAAACATAAATTTATTACATCTATGAAATCTAATTTGCCATAATTATAACTAGCACAACATTTTGATTTCTAACCATACCATTTTGTTCATGGCACACTTGGATATTCAGTGTGAAGATTGAATTCAGTTGTCAAATGATATACCATTTGTTTTCCAGTTTAAGCACACTAAGGAGCTGTTCTCTTTGTCGTTTTCAATTCGTTTTCTATTTTCGATTTTTTGAAACAGTGAAAACACGTTTACTTACCTATTTTTAAAAACGAATTTCCGAAAACGAGTTTAAAATTTACAAAGAAAATCGAAAACGACAAAAATGTTATTTTTGGTGTTTTCAGTTAAAATCAAGCTAAAATTTTCAAAATGTGTTTTGGGTGTTTTCAGTTTAACGTCACCTCAACCACCACCAACGCCGCCTACACCACACCACTGCCGCCGCAACCGCCACCTTCGCCGCCTATATCACACCACCATAAAACCACTGTCACTATCGCTGCCGTCGCCGCAACATCACCCCCAACCACCACTGTCGCCGCCTGCACCACACTACCACCACACAATCACTAGATCCGCCATCACAAAAACCACCACCACAGCTACCACTACAAAAACCGCCACCACACAACCGCCAAATTCACTACCACAAAAATCGCCAAAATCGCCGCAAAACCACCATCGCCACAACCTACATATTGAACACCACCACCGCATCCAACCACCGCACACCACCATCACACCCAAACCAACCATCAAATCAAAAAAAAAAAAGACGAAGAAGCACAAAGAACAACAGCATCGCAGGGAGATCGCAGGGTGCGCCGACAATCGCAAGGAGCGTCGGAGAGAGAGACAACATATGAAAAAATGAAGAGAGAGAAACGAGTGAGAGAGAACACATTTTCATTTTTTTTTATTTTCGAAAACAATTTTTCAAAATGACAAAAAGAACACATTTTCAATCATTTCAAAATGGACACTCAAAATGAATTCAAAACTAAAAACTCAAACGCGAAGAGAGCAGCTTCTAAGTTTTCAAACAAGGGCTTTTCAATTGAACATTAGGAGGTTAGTGGGTGTTCAAGTCCCTTCATCCATTTTCGTTTCTCTACTAATTTTTATATACGATCTTTTTCAATTATATTTTCCTCTTGTACCTCTTACTTTTTTGAAATGATGCTCGAGCAATATTGTAATCCCAGAACCTTCTTGAGGCCATGCCATGTTTCGATATAAGGCAAGTTTCTTTAGCATTACTCACGAAGGTGTATCATCTAACAGCGAAGTGCCTGCATGTTATGACATAAAACCCAAATTGGACAAGGAAAAAATCCTCATGGAGCATCTCATTTTGGCCAAAAAAAGAATGGCATACGCCATTAATGAGATCTTTATGGCAAAGTTGCTACGAGTACTTAGCATACAAGCCCCAAGATGAAACTACAATGAGTGCATTGATGCAACAAGATATCATCCGCAATATCATAAACATAAAAGCAAAAAATCGAGATGTTCATCAAATTCGTTACAAGCTTTTGAACCAACATGAATAAATAAATATAGTACTACTGAAAATTTTGAGAAACAAGAATCGTCCATGGGTTCTAATAAATTACATAATGAGAACCTTTTTCAGTCAGTAACTGAGCAAACAAGTGTTATTTCCTACAGGAAACGGAATGGTATACTACGTGATAATGTCCAGCTAGTTAACTCTTCTGAACCAGAAGAGCTACAAAATGCAGACCCTTAGAAGTAGATACTGATTTCCTCAATTTCTGACAATCTCCAGTCCCCAACAGCATTGTTCGTTAATCTTCACATCCACTACACCGAGTACTTGATTATACAGGAATAATCCAAGGGAATAAGCCATCCTCAGTCAAAAAAACCTGAACAGAAACATTGGTGGTTTGAAGAAAGACAACCCAAATCTGAGTTCATTAACAACCATCGTACTGGAATGCACTTCAGTACACATGCATATAAAAATTACTAAACACTAGTTCCATATGGATGTCAGAATATCACACACTACTTGATTTCTATCATACTAAAATATGCAATCGAAGCACTCACCTTATGCAAACAGCTTTCCCAAAAAAAGAAAAGGAGCTTATTGTTGAATCATTTAATCTAAAAAAAAAGGTGCTTATTGTCAGAGAGGATCGCATGCATACCATTTCAATTTGTCTTCAACACGCACCCTCATGTGTAGGCGGATTATTTTTTTACCATCGAAGCCTAACACGTGCACATTTTCATTAAACTGGTGGCAGCAAGAATTTAACTCGGAATCTTTGCCTACTCTAACACCCTGTTGAACCAGTTGATTTAAAAGCTTAAGCCATTAGAGATGGTCACATGCATACCATCTAAATTTGTCTTCAACACTTGATCTTTCCAGGTATTCTGGTTTCCCGGATCAAATGTTGCTATCCTTAACATGTCTGTCAGGAAGCGGAAACAGAAATGCATATTTTAGTCACTCATCAAGTGTTATTGATAGATTTAACTAAAGTTCGACTATATCATCAGGGGGAAGAAACGTATACAAAAACACAGAGCGAAACACACACACGGTGCATTTTACCATGTAAGGTGATAAGTTTGATAACTTTTTAAATGCAGAGTAACAAGCTCACCTAAAAAATAGCCTCAGAAGTTACCATTACTATTGTCACGAACAAAGCGGCCCGAGCGAGTATTCTGTCCATGACATGCATCACCAAATTCACTGGAATGACCTGATCCAAAATCCCCAAAACCACTTGAGCGACTTGGACCGCCAAGGTTTCCAAATCCATTGCTCCGATCTGAACCACCCAAGTTTCCAAATCCACCAAAATTGCGTGAACGTTGTCCACCCAATCTAGCGCCTGAACCAGATCCACCAAATCGCCCACCTTCAGAATTGCCATAACCACCAGAGTGGCCAAAGCCAGAATCCCTAAACCGAGCACCTCCCATGGTTCCCCTAGAACCAAAACGACTGCCACCGCTGTTCATGGCACTGTACATGGCCATAGCTTCATCTTTAACAGCAATCTTTGGGAGCTAACACGCAGAAAATTACAAACAAATTAGCCTAAAATGATTGAACCAACTAACGAGAGCAATATAGAAAATATATTAGGTGGAGTTGAAGATTGGGGGTTTTTTGGATGGTCAAAGTTTCTTTAGCTTCAACATAGAATGGAAGTTGAACAACGACTAATATAAACTGAAATTACTGGGAAAAAACCATGAATAGAATATGGATGCCTTACCTCAACAAATTTGCAACCAACTTCACGTTCAATAGCCTTGATGTCCCTATATTGGTTTGACGAATAAATAACAACGGCGCTACCTTTTTTCCCAGCACGACCTGTTCGTCCAGATCGATGAACAAAAATCTCTGACGAGTTCGGAAGCTCATAATGTATAACCTGAACAGTAAAAAGATTCAATGTGACCCCAAATACAGGAATAAAAGGATGGCATGCACCACCTTATAACCTGCAATAATACCTTCCATCATTATTAAGCTCCCTAAAGTAGAACTAGAATTACACCTTCACCTTAAATGATTAAGGACCAGAACTCCCTGAAGTACCCTAACCACACGGGTGCTTCCAATGACCAAGGCCATGCCTGATTGATTGCAAAGATTACCCATCGACTCTTTAGCACTCAACACACTCAATGGTATTTCCTATAACACATACAGTTTGATCTATGAATCACGGAGACGGACATTACACGAGAAACACATAATTTTTCAAGAAACTGGGACACTGACTCATTCATTAAAATAATTTAAAAGAACATTTTAAGTATTGTTTCTTTATGTTTGTTATTTCTTATTTTTCAATTTAATTAACTCATTTTTTAGGTTTGATATTGGATTTTGCAAGTGATATCTTTGGAGTTTATATTAGTTGCTATTCGTTGTATTAACATATCTTTGTGGTACACATTTTTCTTATTAAATAAAAATATTCAAGTAATGTAAAGTGCATATAATAGATATAAAACAGATTTGATACAAAGTTCGTACAATCTTTGTCTCATTATTTACTTCATTGTGCATACATAAATTCATGTTCCACAATATACCAAACGGGCTTGCCATGTCCTTGATATGTCAGGGTTCTCTATCTCTCTCTCTCTCTCTTCAAAAATTAAAAAACATATATATAAAAAGTATAGGAACCACCATGTGGCATGTGAAATATGTATCAGAGTCATGTTAGAAATATGAAACGTGTATAATAAAGGGGTCATTCCAGATCGCACGTCAGATCGATACATGTTGGAGTTAGCACATGACACCTTAACACCGCTAGAAGCAAAAGGATATGAATGGGGTTAGGATATTAGAAACCAAAAAACAACAAGAAATTTATCCATTGTTCTCTCCTTCCATCATTGTTGTAGGCAAGCATGTACGAAAATGAAAGCACTGAGATAATTTTCATATACGCACCAGATCAACATTAGGTACGTCAAGGCCACGGGCAGCAACATCTGTAGCTACTAAAATATTGAATCGTCCATCTCGGAAACCAGATAGGGTTCTTTCCCTTTCATTTTGTGAGATATCACCATGTAAGGCTTCACAACAGAAGTTTCTTTGCATGGCAGATGCCAATTGATCAGCATTACGTTTTGTTTGGGTGAAAACAATACATTTACCTCCTTTTGCATGCTCCTGATATCAAAGATAGCATATTGTCCGTTTCAAAAGGTAGTTTGTCTTAATAAATCTATGATCACAGAAATAAATGCATTATGAAGATCCATACAGTTATAAGAGTCCCAATTATAGCTGGTTTCTCGCGCATTTCTGATGCAATTGCATACAGGGAAATGCCTTCAGCTAATTTCTGATTAGAATCTCCCACCTGCAAAATATATTTGATATGACTAAGATGAAATAGAAAACCAAGTAACCATAACGGGTTCCAGAAAATCATGTCTGCAGCAGACCTCAAACAAGAGAAAAGTTTTTGATGAAATATTACAAGATGAAAAGTGATTATCTGCATACTCACAAGGTCAACAGTAACTGGATTTTTTAAGAACTTTTGTGTAAGTTTTATTATCCAATTCGGCATTGTAGCTGAAAACATCATGGTCTGATGTTTCTGCTTCATATATCCCAATATTGTCTCAACATCATCCGCAAATCCTACGTTAAGCATCTGATCAGCTTCATCTAGAACCACAAACTGCACTTCTGTTAAATTCAAAGAACCCCTCTTAATCAAATCTATAACCCGTCCAGGTGTGCCAACAATCACATCAACACCATGTTTAAGGGTATCTATTTGGCGTGAAATTGGCATGCCCCCATAGACACATAGAGTGTCTAAATTTGGAGCAGAATCGCAGAATTCTTTGTCCACTTGGCGAGCAAGTTCTCTAGTTGGAGCCAAGATTAATGCCAAAGGATTCCTTCCTCGTCTGGGTGATGGAAAACAGGAAAATTTAACCGTTAAAAATTCCCAATTCTTGAACACGCTCAAAACAGAAAATAGATTTAAAAAAAATAGAGCAAAGATAACAGACCCGTGCTTCTCATTGAATCGAATAATCTTATCCATGATTGGAATGCCAAATGCTAATGTCTTCCCAGTTCCTGTTCTTGCTCGACCTATCATGTCACGCCCCTTCATAGCTGGTTCCAAAACAGCTCCCTGCAGTCCAAAAAATATGCTCACACTGAAGCTCAAACATATGCCAAAAGAACGAAAAGGAAAACCTAAGACAGTACCAAATTCTTAGGATGACGTGAATAAAAGAGTGAAAACAGTGTTTATAGAAAATTTCTTAGATTCAATTAATCTTGCATTTTCCATCTCAACATTCACAGTTCCATAAGCAGAAACAGAAGTTATGCCTCGCATGTCATTACCATTTTTTTATTACAAAATATAGTATTTATTGTTATAACTTAATTCAGTGGATTGTTCTTCTACTCCCAAACATATACCCAATCCAAAAAGATATTAGATATACCTGAATGGGAAAGAGTTTATTGATACCCCTCCCGGACAAGGCCGATACGATATCCGGCGAAATTCCAAGCTTGGAGATTTCGAGGCCATCATCAGCTACCTCGCTGGATACCATACTATCTTCAGCATCAGATAAATCTGCAACGGCATATGCGGCCTGCAAAACCCGGCCCACATGAAAAGCCCGTGTTGATAAAGGTAGCGGCGCCGCTGCTTTTCTTGTCAAGGAGGCAGCTTTATAGTTATAAACTCGTGGAAAAATAAGCGCATTTCCAGGAATAAATTTCTCTGGCAATCGATGTCCAAGGGCAGTAATGACGAGCCTGCCAGTGCTGGAGAGTGATGAAAATTTCCTGAGTAAAAGGAGGCTACCCATTTGTTCGCTTTAATTGAGAAAGACAGAAAGTGAAGATTGAAGATAAACCCTAATGTTGAAGGGTTTATGAGGGGACTGAAGACGGAAACAAACCGTGATTGATGAGGAGGGTTTAAGAAGTGAAATGACTTATTAGTCCTTGAAATTTTATAACTTTTCTTATGCCCTGTTTGTTGTGAATTAAAACTTGCTAAAATTTTAATTCAAATTAATTTTGACTATATATTTATTGGGATCCACAATTTCGTAGTACGTTTTTCTCTCTCTTCTCTTTGATTATCCATTTTTTCAATAAAATAATATTACACACAAACTTAATATTTTTTTTTAAATCACACGTTCTCCATCAAAATACTATTTCAAAATATATTGTTTTCAAAAAATGGGACTCGAGTAGTCTCCTAGCTACTTTAGAGCTTGTCGGTAAAAAATTTCATCAAATTTTTAATAAGAAAATGATCGTTACAGTCAAGAAGTGGGGACCACATTAGAGATGAGCAGTCAAATATGGCTGCTGCTTTGCTGGGTAACGATAAAAAAAATTGTTGTAATTGGTTTGAAAATCTCTCCCAGACAGGGTCTTAATATGTACATTTATTTCGTTTCCCACAAGCCAACCCCTTCGGCAAGGTCCAATTATTTTGTTTTCGTGCGCTTTTTTATTCGAGGACTAAATTCTTACTCAATCAACTCATAAGTTAATATCGGTTACATCTTTTGAGATATAATAATATCAAAGACACATTCTTACATTTAAAAAATCACAATAATTTCCCCTATTTCTAATTTTAAGTATCACATATACCTCTACCTAATCAATTTTTGAATAGTACATTATCTAGAATAAGATTGATATACCTAAAATGTCCTTGTTAAAAAAATAAAATTTTCTACTGTTAGTTGTAGTTAATTTGCTTAAACTAACTGTAAGAATAATAATTTGACACATTATATATATAACTCGTTCGACATAGCTTATATTTTAATCATATTATTTTATTTATAGTTGATGTTATTTTCTAGATATATGAATCGTATTTACATAGATATTTAATTTAACAAAATAGTTATTTATAAGTTTAATCGAATATCAAATAATCAGAATATTGTGATATTAGGGTCCGTTTGATTGCAATTGTGGAAAATGGGTGAAAAGAAAATGAATTAAAGGGAAAGTAATTGCCTAAAAATTGTTTTATAGGGAATTGTTAATTAAGTGTGTTTGATTGGTATAATTTTCCACCCGAAAAATTTTTTAATTTTGTGTTCGTTTGGTCTTCGTTTGCATTAAAATTTTCCATTAAAGTGATAATTTTTTCCACAATTGGTTATAAAATTTGTTTCCATTACCAAAAAGAAAAAAAAAATTTTACCATACCGAATATCATTCGTTTGGATTTGTTTTACATGGAAATTATCAATAAAAACGAGAATTTTTTTTACCACTATGTCTGATTTTTTTCCAATTGCTAAAAAAAAAAAAGAGAGGAAGGAAAAGCTACAAAATAAAAAACCAGCCAAACCAAAAGAAATCATATTCCTCTCACGCAAGGAAAGTAGGCGCGTCAGTGGTTTGGGAAGAAAACATTTTATAAGGAAAATGAAACCCATCAAACACTACAAAAAGCTAAAAAAAAAAAAAAAAAAAAAAAAGAAAAAAAAAAAATTACCATACCGAATATCATTCGTTTGGCTTTGTTTTATATGGAAATTATCAATAAAAACGAGAATTTTTTTTACCGCTATGTCGGATTTTTTTCCAATTGCTAAAAAAAAAAAAGGAAGGAAGGAAAAGCTAGAAATAAAAAACCAGCCAAACCAAAGGAAATCATATTCCTCTCACGCAAGTAAAGTAGGCGCGTCAGTGGTTTGGAAATAAAACATTTTATAGGGAAAATGAAACCCATCAAACACTACAAAAAGCTAGAATTGGAAAAAAATTTCCATTTTCCCTAGAAAATGGAACATAGCAAACATACCCTTAATTTAAAATATTGGAATGATTATTATATCAAATGAAGTTATCAAAAAATAATCAAAATAATGCTTTAATGAAATATTATAATAAAAAAAAGATTTTAAATAATTTATTAACAAACTCCTCAAACAAATTTTATGTTTTACTTCCCAACCATGCATATTCAAAAATTGTGAATGCACGAAGTCTTTAAGTATTAGTTTAATATTAAAGGGAACAAATTAAATTGCAACTAATCGTAAAAATCTCGTATTTTTATTTGCAATGAAATTTTAAGTATATACTCAAAACTAAAAATCTGAGAAATTAGTGATGCTTTTAAAATTTCGTGAAGTGTTTCTGATATTGTTATAAAATTCAGGAGTGTCTTTGATATTGTCTCTAATTTTTAACATTTTGCATGTTACTCGATATTAGAGGCATCAACAATTATTTATTATGGTCAACAAGAAGAAGGCTATCCAATCTACACCCACCGTATAACACCTCATACTAAGTCGCCTATCGCTATAAGATTCTTTACATTCATATTGGGCCGTCTACCGCTATGAAGCACTCTACGCACATATTGGGCCAGCTATCATTACGGAATCAATGCAATACTTAACCATAAAAATATCATTAAGTTGGATGGAAACCAACCAACAATTATCATGGGTGCAACCAACCGCTGAAAAAATGGAGATCCACGGTTCAAGACGTGAGGGTAGTGGGAGGCGTTACGTGCGACATGTGTCACAATAACCACCCGACAGTTATATCACATTAGCAACTTAGGAATAAAAAATTCTTCATCTCTAAGTTGGAAGATGTTGTATGTGGTTACATTTAAGTTATTTTGTGTGGAATTAATTTCATTATTGATCATTGAAGTTATAATAAATTTCAAAATGATATTTAAAGTTAATTTTGTATATTATTAGTCACTAAAAGTTTATGAGAGTTGCACTAATGATCAATAATCAAACTAGAGCCAGACTAATTAGGTCATAACATCTCGACTCTGTATACTCGATTCTTAGTACTTCTTTAATATTGCGACTAGACAATACTAACCAATATAACGTGTTTTTAATCGTAATTAGTGATGAAGTGTCAATCTTCACAATAACCAAAAAAACTACGTAAAGGCAAAATTCAAAGATTATGATTAGGGTACCGCGATCTATATTAACGGAAGTTATATACATATCCACATTTAAAAATAAAAATATATTATATTTTTTATTTTATGTAAATTTACTTAAATAGACATAAACACAATTAAATAAAAATACATAACTCTAATTTGATCCACTAGTTTTTTTTCATCAGATTATCCTAAATCTTTTTATATTCTATTAGAGATTATGTTTAACTAGAATCAGATCNTTGAACTTCTAGGAGATTTTTGTCTCGATTTCTTCAAATCTTAATTCAATTATGCTGCTGTAGCTGCTCTTGCTATTGGTTTACTAAAACCTGCTCATAACAGACTTCTCCTTCGACCGCTTGAAGATCCCACAGTCAGAGGAAGATGCGATCTCTGCAAAATCGTCACTTGCTGGACTTGTATTTTGAATGATTTTACTATTCTGTGATACATTATTAGCCTGCGTTTGATAACCATTTTCATCTAAATTGTAGAAAAATTATAGACGTTATACACAGGGGCGGACGCAGAACTTTAACGTTGGGGGGCACAATCAAATTTGCAAAGAAGTTGGGAGAAATTTTACAATAAAAAATTTACGTCCAAAAAAATCATACTCCATGTAATTTTACATCCAAAAATTTAAATGGGATATGATTTTAATAAAATGATGAAAATTACATTGAGAAATTTGTAACCCAAAAATAATAAATGTTAATGAAATAATTGATTTTTTTTTTAAAAAAATGCGAGTTAGACGTCTTTTTAAAGGTTCACGTTTAACGTATTTTTAACTATTTTCGATATATGTTTGAATTATTCGGTATGTCCATAATGTAATTCTTGAAATAAACTTAGAAATGATTCAAACAATTTGTAGATTCGATTAGCATGCGATCGTCGGAGAATTTTTAAAATTAGTATATTTCGAAATTCAAATTTATTTTGATTTTACCCTTGTTTGGTGGAGATTAAAATCAATTTTT